ATTCAGGTAACCCAAAAAAGGCATGTCAAATCCAGAGATTGTATGAAGCCACCGCCTCCAAAATAATTGTTAGTTCATAGACATGAGCAAAATACGTATTTTTCCATGTTGTTGGACAATTCTTTTATTTCCAATTCATACATTCAATGCTACCCCAACATCCTAAGAAATCCACGATTGATACCCATTGCTAATAATCTAGCAATGACATCGTTGTTTGATGACCTAAGGTATTCATCGAAAAAATTGTTACTATTGCCCTCACAAATCTTTTCAAACTTTTATTGCGGTGCTATCACCAATACTGACATAATCATCAACAACTCCATAAGCAACCATCCATATAGCGGCTATCATTTTTTGAAGGGAAGACAAGTTAGTAATCTCAGTAGCATCTTTTTTTGGACAAAATATGGATCATAAGTTTTCATAATGGATAAAATACGAAGAAAAATGGTTCAATTCATTCAAAAACTCCTCCGAAATAAATTTGAGGGATAGATAGGCGATTTAGTAAAATAATCGTGAAAAAGTCTCTCATTCCCTTGAACTCAATTTTAAAAAATAATTGAATGACCTTCAATGGAACCACGATGTACTTCAGAGCTTTTCTCGGTATTGAGTTTGTTTATTTACATAGCACGAATCATTACTATCTCCAATTCATTATCAGAGTCAAAATCGTTAAGAATCATCTTGATTGCAGAATGGTGAGCCATACCATATAAACAAATAAGAGTGCAATGTCAATAAATAGATTGAGGTGTATGGCAATGAAAGGGGGAATATCCTATTTATACATATCCAAAAATATGACTGTTAAAAAATATGACCGTTATCAATAAAATCATTGAAAAATTTAAATTTTAAAATTTTGATAACGTGACTGTTATCAATAAAATCATTGAAAAATTCAAAATTTAAAATTTTGATTACGTGACCGTTGTAAATATGACTGTTATAAATATGATCGTTGAAAAATCTAAAATTTTGATGATGTGGTGTAACACGTCATCATGTGATGTCATCAATATGATGATGATTTTAGATTTTAATTATTAATAGTTAATTAAAATTAGTTGAAATAGTTAGTTAAAATAAATAGTATTATTGGAGTGAATTAGTAGGAGTTGCTCTTTAAAATAGATAGTGTAATAAAAAAAATATATTTTGACTAGCTATTTTAACTAGTATCATTAGAGTTGCTCCACCAGGGTAGTTATTCCACTAATTAATAACCCCCATTTCTCAAGTTATTTCTAGCAAGCCACAGAAGCTCGCTATTTGGTTTTTGCACTAATTTCTTCACTCCATAGCACCCCCAATTTCCTCACTTGTCTTCGCTCATCATCTTAATCAACCACCCAAAGACTTCATCGTCCACTAAAGGTATTCTTCGCTCATCATCTTAATCAACCACCCAAAGACTTCATCGTCCACTAAAGGTATTCTCTCTACTCTCTCTCTCTCTCCCTTTCTTTCTCTCTCTCTCCGTCTTCACTCATCATCTTCATCAACCACCCAAAGACTTCACACAAAGGCTATACCATAGAAATCATGTATATATACCCCATATATCTCTCTCTCTCTCTCTCTCTATATATATATATATATATATCAGGTCCCATTGAAAACCCACTAAAAAACCTAAAAATCCCACAAAAAAAAACCCACAAAAAATCCCTCTAAAACCCCACCAAAAACCCATATATCTTTCTCTCTCGGCTCTCACTAAAAATCGATTGAAAGCCCACTCATATCTCTCTCTTTGCGTCGCTCTGTTCGGGTTGGGTGGAGAGAAGAAATTAGAAGTGGATGCAACTACTGAACTGCATTTGAAATTAGAAAATTGACTTAAAACCCCACCCATTTTAATTTAGGAATTTGTGAATTTATGAAATATCTACTGTTGAATTTGTGAATTATTGAATTGTGAATTGTGTTTGTAATTTGAAAATTTCGATTTAGGAATTTGTGAAAATTTTGATTTGTGAACTTGTGAGTTAGTTTAAATAGTTAGTTAAAATAGAGAACTTTGTTGGAGTGAATTAGTAAGAGTTGCTCTTTAAAATAGATAGTGTAATAAAAAAGTATATTTTGATTAGCTATTTTAGCTAGTATTCTTGGTGTTGCTCTTATGTCTTTATATTTACAAAAGTAATAACGTCATATATATGATAAATATAATTATATGTTGTATATATGTGTAAAAGAGAGAGAGGGGGTCTTATGTGAAGAGAAAGAAAAATTATAGGGTATATATATATAATGTATACTAGGGATAATTCGTGCCTAAAAACACGATTTAACGTAAACCAACCGGTTAATTTGGAGAAGTAAGGAGTGAAGATCCTAGAGAGAGGGAGTGAAAAGTGAGGAGAGGAAGATAAAATTCAACGTGAATGATTTTGAAAGGGATGTTGGTGGTTATTGAATAAGTCTAGTTGAGACCGTCGATATATATATATAAGAGAAAATGTGTGTGTTGTGTGTGTCCTTCGTTGTGTAGGGAGGGAGAGAGTGGTTGTTCAGTTTGGGTGTGTGTTGTGTCATGTGAGAGAAAAAAAGAAGAGGTAATGAAGAAAATGGGTGTTTTGGTGTATGTTTAAAATTGTTCAAATGAAGAATAATGGTACTTGGATATAAAAGTGTTATATAATGACTTAAATGTTCTTAATAACAATCACATGTCTTGCACGTGTTGTTTTTCTGTCACTAATTTAAACAACAGTTAGTGCGAGGGATGACATTGATCCAATACATGAACTTTGAGGACTAAATTGGTGGAATTAAAACTTTAGGAAAAATTTCAAGTGATGGCAAACTTTAAGGACTATTGATGCAATTTATCCAATAAAAAAAATGTTATTTGTTAAAATGTTGACCTGATTTGCTGATCTAATCAATTACAATCATTGAATTGATAGTTAATTCCAATAAATATTGGGACTTATAATTAAATTGATGGTAGTGATTGATAAAGTCAACAAATCATGTTAACATTTTAGATCTAAGTAGTATTACTCATAAAATAAACACCAAAATGCTTCTTGTTTTAGGAAAAATTATACTTTAATCCTCTTAATTATGAACTCAACTAGGGGCAACCCATGCTTGAAGGCACAGTGCAACGTAAACCAACCGGTTAGTTTGGAGAAATAATAAGTGAAGATCTCACACACACACACAGAGAAGAATGAGAAAAGGAAGATAAAATTTAATGTGAATGATTTTGAGAGGAATGTTGGTGATCGTTGGATAAGTCTATTTGTGACCGTCGAATATGTTTATTGAAGTCTTCCCTGTTTGATAATATAGATTTCACTTTGCCCTTGAGCTATTGAATTTTTGATATTGTTCCCTTAGTTATTTGGATTGATTTCACATTGCTCTAAGTGCAAACACCTGATATCTTTTTAACGTCGCTCTGATACCTTCTAAATAGAAATAGGCATGCACACGACTAGAGATTTTTGTCTGAGTCATGTAGTCCCAAATGAATTGTAGTATAGCACTTGGGTTCAGCCTTCTCCTTGTCAAATTTGGCTTTTGATCTCTTCCCTGAATAAATGATGAACGCCATTATACAGATGATAGGACAAGGTTAAAGTAGTAATCTCGACGAAGATTAGGATGAGCTTTGATGAATAAATTTGAGGGAAAAAATTGAAATAAATTTTTACCAAATTTGTTACAGACATTAATAGTTAATGACATGTAAAACTAATGTCATACTTGAAAAAATGTATGTATATTTAACTTATACTATAATTTTAAATATGAAAAAACAATGTATTATTACAACTCTTGATTTTCTTAAGAAACACATATATATACTTATCTTGTGAATGTTATGATGATACATTTATACTGTATCTAATGACCCCAAAAAAAAAACTATGATGAAATAGTATTTCTCAATTTATCTTTATTTTTGTGACCTTTGTGGTGTTGCATCTTTGGGATTTGCTTGACATTTAGTAATTATAAGTTGCTTGATCTCATGTCTACTAGGTGCTAGATGAACTAATTTGGTTTTATTGCTTCACCTTTGTTGTACTTGTAGACAAGTATAAATGGGGTTCTTCTTCATTTCTATTCTTTGTTTTCTTTTTGTCTTTTTTTTTTGGTCGTTATCTTTCATTCCATTATGCAACCAAAAAGAACTTTTTTACATTTTGGATCCATCTCAAATAATGTTAGGATCATTGTGATAAATTATAATAGATCTCAAATAACTCCATTTTAGTGTGAACTCACCATATGGAGTGGTACTTTTTTTTTGACCCAAATTGAGTGATAACTTCACTCATATTTTATATTAACCTATGTATATTACTTAAAAAACTAATTTTTTTTTTGTATTGTAGTCTTATCATTCTTTTCCTCGTGCATTTTCATGCCTTCTTTTAAGAATTAGGATGCGATCAGGAAAACTATGGCTAATTAAAAACTATGGTTACATCACTTTGGAGGGAGCACTAAACAACCCACTATGACAAAAATCAGGAGCACCACCTCTGTTATTCATCATATATAAAACCACAAGATCAAGTAGCCATACATATATTCCACACAATAATTCCCACCTAAAATTTTTTAACAACACACATTGAATGTTAATTAGTGATTAATCCAACATACAACAATGACACACAATAGCATTGAACAAATCAACAACTCTAAAATTAACGCCACCCCAACTAACATCAATGTTGTCGATTTGGTGACAAATTGATTTGAGGAAAAGGGAGAGGGAAAAGTAACGAGGTAGTAGAAATAGAAAGAGAAGAGTGTCACTAGTTTGAGTTGATGACATTTATGGGTCGAGTTGGCTGTGTGTTTGTTGCATTTGGTAGCATCGTGGTGCTAGTTAAATCCTTTCTCTCTCTCTCTCTCTCTCTCTCTCTCTCTTCCTCTTTCACCAACTATTAGGGAATTAATCAAAAACAACAATTGGCCATTGTGATTTTTTAGGAGATGGGTGCCCGTGGTTGTTTATGGGGATAGGTGTGATCAACTTGGGAGGTGCAAAAGCTACAAGGATGTGGATATGGCCTAGGTGGTCTATGATAGGAGTTTGGGAAGAAGGTGTAGTTGTTTGGTGGAGACGACATGGTGGTGGTCCAATAGAGAAAGAAAAGGGAAGGTATTTTATAGGGGTCGGAACTTGGGATTGGTTTGGGAGAAGGGTGGATGAGGTTTGGGTTGGGTCAAATTCAGGTATGATATTGTGGGTTTATTGTTAGGTTTGTTTTTAATATTTTATTCATATCAAAGGATAAAACAATCATTTACTAACTGTCATTATGCCCGTTAGGAGACTATTACTAAAAGGGGTGTTAATGTAATTTTTCATACCTGAGGGGATTCGTTTGATTAAGTGATAAATCTTAAGGGGTGTGAATGTAAATTATCAAATAAAGAAATATAACTCACCTCCACATCACCGTAATCCCACCCCCAACAAATTTATGTGTGGGTTAACACACCAGCAACTCACCAACACTATCACCACCACTCTAATCCCACTACCATCAGCACCATAACCTACACTAGTTTTGTTACCGTTGTTTCACCGAGAGTCTGAGACTCTCCTACCTACTACACAGAACCAAACATGAATGCACACATCGCGACATAGATACATTGTGAACCTCTTAACTGGAGCTTCACTTAGGGAGCACATTGTTTCAATTGAAGCTAATCATAGCCATTTTTGGGGTTTCAACAGAATCAAATTGAACTGAAGCTTTACTTAGGACTGGGTGTCGAATAGGCGGAATCAGAGCATTGATGGTGGTGAAACTACATTAATTTGCAATGGTGTTGGGTGACTAGGTAGTGGTTGTAGCATTTGCAATAATATTTTGCTCCTTTTCTCTCATTTTCTTTAGATTGGTTAGTGTCTAGTGATGGTGGTTGGGAAGGTGGTGGTTGCGACGGGGATATTGGATGATGTTCATATTTGATGTTAATGGTCGGTAGGGTGGTGTTGTGTTGAAGAATCAATCCAAGAGAAGTCCAATTCTTGTGCTACTAAATAGGAGAAAATAAAATCCTGAGATTGTTTGTTTAAATTCAAATCTTATGAGAGTCAAAATTGTATGCAATTAATTAGACTATTGTATAGGACTTTAGTTGTATAGATACACTATATATTATGTACGAGGATAATCAAAATCAATATGATCAAAAAAGCAATTCTCAAACTCTTACATAATATCATTGAGTCATTAGACTAGCGTCACCCAAAATGTCTTCCCCTTCTTCCTCTAATTCAAATCAGAACCCAACAAATCTCTCTATCTTCACCATCATGCCCATCATTAATATTGTCAAACTCATTCATGACAATTACTTTCTATGGAAAGCACAGCTTGTGCCATATTTTCGTGGCCAATATGTATATGGATATATTGATGGCACCATCCCTTAACCTCTAATGACTATCGATGCTCCTCATTCTGAAAGTATCAAAATTATACGAACTCTCAATCACACTTATTTCTTATGGAATAAGCAAGATAATGTTATTCTTGATAGAGTAGTATACTAAAAGTTTTTTTTTGTAGTAAAACTCGTTTATATGGGCAAAATGTTTGCATTATATTTAATATATGGTATGCATGTGTGTCTTATATTATAAATTGCAGACAATCTGGTGTGTAGAATTCAGTTTATACGCAGAAGACCAAATTATCGGATCCTTGTATAATATAAGTATAGGTTCACAATCGTAAATGAAATTAGACACACCATCAATATGATTTTAGTGTAATATTCTGGCATACTTTGTCTTGAGTGTAGGAGACTATTTGATATCTCAGATTATTGCATTAGTACACTTTATGCATTGAACAGACCTATGTTGAGGTTATTATCTTTTACTAATTCAATAAGATAATAAATACCTCATGATTATTATGATTATTTATGCTCTTAATTCTGAAATATTTAATTGTCACGTGTATATAATGTTTGTCACTTTAATACATCAAAGAGTGAGATTCATATTGAGTCAATAAACTCGGTGAATTGGGAGAAGATATTATTTGTATGGTGAAAATTAATTATTAAAAGAAACCACGTCCTAGTATTTAAATGGGTTGATGATGTCCTCTTGAAGAAGCTCATAAGTTTTATTCATGTCAAACCCTGCAGATGGATTTAATTATTCGACATGACAAATAAGTTAAGTAGTAAGGTCTCAAGGAATAAAAGAAGTTAATTAAATATAATTATCAGTAATTTATTTAATTGATGGATATCTGTAATCTTAAATGTGGGGATATTATTAAGCATATAATCATAAGGAGCTCGAATATAATTTTGAGATAAGGCGATCAATGATAAATTTTTAGTGGACTGTCTTATTATTAATGAGTTATACGATGTTTGTTCTGAGTTGAACATATGAATCTTAGGCCCATTGGAAGTTCGGTCCTTATTTCTCCTTAAGGTTTCTTTCGTAGCCTATATATAAACGTCTAGGCTCTCTAAATTAGCATCTATTCTTTACTCATGTTTTTTAGGGAGATTGAAAGGGAAAACAGCAGTTCAGAGGTTCTAGCAGCCCACACTGCATCCGGATTCTGACGTCGGGGGATATACGATAGAAGGCCGCGAGGTTTGTCAAGCTGTCTTCCACGTTTGTTGTTAGGCTTGGCGTTCGTGCTAAGACAAGATCAATCCAAAGCAATCTCGAAGGTAAACTCTAATTCCTTCTTGTAAGGTTTTAAAGGAAAATTGTTGGTATTCGATACATACTCGCTATCAATAATTCTTGGGATTTTTGTTCCAACAATTCTAAGCATCATCATGTCATCCTTGACATAAGTTGTTCTAGTACAGGTGATAAGCTACACCTCCTCAAGGGATGTATGGCTTGCACTTGAAAACAATTTCTCATCTCAATCTCGTGCATTGTGCAGTTCAACTTCGCACAACTTGCGAATGCTAGGAAGGAACCTCTTTCGGCCAATGACTTCTTTCTCCCAATCAAAAGACTTGCTGATGAATTAGCTATGAAAGGTCAAACTTTAAATTATGAAGAATCATAACTATGTCTTAGTAGGTCTCAGGCTTGACTATGATTCTCTTATGGCCTCCATTATAACTCGGTTTGATCTTGTCACACTTGAAAAACTCTATTCTCTCCATATTTACCAGTGAGTCTCGCATCTCACAGAATAATCAGCCTCTCCAAGTTTCCCCTTTAGCAAATGTTGCCACCTGATAACAAAATCAAACCAACTACAACAATTCCTTGAATTCACAATCTTGATCGAATTCAAGCCGAGGCCAGGGAAGCAATAAAGGACGTGGCAACCACTGTGGTAGTGGTTGAGGTCTCTCATCCTCAACTCAAGTTTTCTTTTAGGTTTGTGAGAAACATGGACATGTTGTTTGCCATTGTTTTCACAAGTTTGATTTGTCATATCAAAATCCTCCAGCCTAAACTCATCGGCCTCAAGCTACGGTGATAGTGTATCACCAACACACCGACATTGATTGGTATCCCGATATAGGCACAATACATCATCTCATGAATGATGTGAACGACCTCACCCTCTAGAATGATGAGTATGATGGAACAAATCAAATCCAAGTGGGAAATGGTGTAGGTTTGAAAATCTCTAAAACTAGAACAACTTTTGTATCAATTCCTGTAAAATATTTCGTTCTTAATCAAGTCTCACTTGTTCTAGATATTAAGAAAAACCTATTATCTGTGCAAAAAATTTTCAAAGACAATAATGTCTATTTCGAATTTCATGAATCATTTTTCTTACGAAGGACTACTTGGGGAACGTCCTACAACGTATGCAAATCAATAAGGATCTTTACAGTTTTCGTTCTCTCTTTACATGTTCTAATCCAAAGGTTTTTTCAAGTTTTTGTCTCTCTTCAGGATTTGCATAAACGACTTGGGCATGCCTCTCTTCCCATTGTGAAGCAAGCAATTTCCATTTTCAGTCCAGTTACTAATAAACAACATTCAGTTTGCCAAGATTGTCAAATGGTCGAGAGCCACGTTTTACCTTTTAAATCTACACAAGTTTCTACTTCTAAGCCTTTAGAATTGTTATATTCAGATGTATGGGGACCAACATATGTTGTTTCTAAATTAAGGGCTCGTTATTATGTGAGTTTCCTTGATGATTGAACAAAATTTGTATGGATGTTTCCAATGAAACACAAGTCAGATGCTAAGCAAATTTTTGTGAAATTCTAGATTTATGTTAGCGTCATTTTGATCTTAAAATAAAATATCTCCAAACTAATTGGGGCAGAGAATATAGATGTCTCCCAACATATTTAAAACAATAAGGAATTGCACATAGAATTTCATTTCCACACACACACCAACAAATGGGTGCAATAGAAAAACAACACCGACAAATTGTTGAAATTGGCTTATCCTTTTTATTTCATTCTAATTTTCTGCAACAATATTGGAAAGATTCTTTTCAAACAGTAACTTACAGTTTAAATCATCTTCCTACACCAATTTTAAAAAACAAATCCTCATATGAAGTTGTTTATAACAAACAATTGGATTACTCGTTTATAATAGTCTTTGGTTGCACTTGTTGACCATATTTACAACCCTACAATAACATAAAATTTGATTTTCAATCTAAAACATGCATATTTATTGATTATAATGTTGGACATCATGACTATAAGTGTCTAGATTTGTCAATTGAAAAAAAATATGTTTCACGTCATGTAGTATATAATAAGTCATTGTTTCCCCATGAAAAACCTCCATCAACCCAACCCCATACTCCTTTGGATTTTCTTGTTCTTCCTCCACATCTTCATCTAGGGTCCTCTTTTGGTTCAAACATAATGTCCCTACCAGACTTCTCAATCACGAATGCACCGACTCCCACTCAAATTCGATTATTCCTCAAATTTCTCATTCCACGAGAAATGTGGTTAAGGCACCAGATCCCATTATTTTCTCTCCAACAACTGTGCCCCTATCAAGTCTGCTTGAGCCATGTTCAACTAATGGGATGATGACCAAGTCTAGGAACAATATCAAGAAACTAAATACTAAGTATCCCTTGTCGAAAACATTACGAGCAGATACGGTTTCTATTCCACTAGAGCCAACATGTTTCACAGAAGCTTCAAAACATCCACAATAGCAGACAATTATGAATGAAGAATTCAATGCTTTGCTAAAAAATGGAACATGGTCTTTTGTTCCTCCAGATTCCAATGTCAATTTGATGAGATGCAATGAGTCCTTAAAATTAAAATACTTGCTGATGGAACCATTGAGCGCTATAAAGCTAGACTTGTTGTCAAGGGCTACCATTAGCAATAAGGGATTGATTTCAATGACACATTTAGTCTCGTGATCAAGCCTGCAACAGTTCGGTTGGTACTCACCGTTGTAGCCTCACAAAGATTGGCGTGTAAGGTAGATTGTTATTTAGAATGCCTTTGTACATGGAGTGTTACAAGAAAATGTTTATATGTCCATAATTGCCCTATTATTTATGCAAATTGCATAATTCTTTGTATGGTCTTTGTCAAGCTCCCCATGTGTGGTTTTCCAAACTCATGGAAAACTTGTACAACTAGGATTTTGTGCAAGCAAGGTGGATTCTTCGTTGTATGTTTTTCACTAGTTAGCCTTAACAATATATTTTCTCATCTATGTGGACAATATTATTGTTACAGGTTCAAACAACTCAGTTATTAACAACATTATCACACTCCTACATGTTGATTTCTCTATCAAAGAACTTGGGGACCTTAGTTATTTTTTAGGCATTGAAGCACTGCTTCACTCCGATACACTTTATTTAAATCAATGGATGTATATTGTGGACTTACTCAAACGGGCTGAGATGGATAAAGCAAAATCAGTCTCCACTCCTATGTCGACTTCTCAAACCTTGACTGCATCCAAAGGTGAAGCTTTTGAAAGTCCTA